TATTTCATTTTTACAGCTGACAGCTGTAAATATTTGCTTCACCTTGTCCAAAAAAACTCAAAATGTCTTCTGAAGTGTGGAAACCACATACCCACTTGTCAAATTCTCTGCAGAAGCATCCACACCAGAGGGAAGCTGTACATGCAGCTTTAAATTACCGAAAGCGATTCATAGAGAGAATCCATACACATCTATATTCAAGAAGGATTAGTTTTCATTTTAGAAGCAGTTTCTAAAACCCAGATCAATACTCCCCACAGGATGCCAAGCCACTCCTCCCCTCTGCAGGGACAGCCTAGAATCTGAACAATACAAATTCCCAGCAGTTGTTAATCTACAGGTAAATATTAACTACCTAATTGGAAACAATGCATTTTTCAGCAAATTTATGTCCAATTCTGTACTCATGGGCAGTCAAGTCAAAGCAGCCAAAAAACACACAGTTAATCTGGGTAAAAGTTGGTTTTAGCAAGAGCAGGAGCAGCCACACACAAATATCACTTTTGGAAGAAAGTAAGGGAATACACTAAGAGTTCGTAGGCAATTTTCTCATCCATTTGGCCTGACTCACCAGGTTTATTTTCACTCCAACCCTGAAAACACACATGCCACTCACTGTCATTCCCCAGCTACTAAGAGTTTGCTCTGTCAATGCTGTCTGACTAGAAGATGAAAGTCGAAGCTCTCTTGCTTCTCAAGTCCGCTTCCATTCCTCTTCATTTGCACAATTTAGAAAGTTAGTTTGCTTACTTCTCCCTCTCCATTTCAGTTATGTCACTCAAGTAAATTGCTTATCTTGCAAGGTGCTCCCAAAGGGTTATACATGCACTGACTTGCCCTTTATTGAACTGTTTGTTTGTTATTTCTTATGAACTGAGAAAGAAACAGGAACTGAAACTGCTTGAGCAGCAAGCTTCTACATTTTTCATTTAGTTTCTAGTCACCTGAAAGAAACTTGATAACCCATTTCTTCACACTCAACAGTCAGTTACAGAGGGCATAGGTAGATGATAATAACGTCACGGTGAAAAGTATTGCAGGGAACAATGCACTGTATTTAACCATGATACCATCTAGAAAGCAAAGCCTCAGCCCACACCCCACACCACACCAGGCTGTGCTCCTGCGTCTGTAAGCAAGCAGCTCTAAGACATGGTGAACAGATGATGTGATGCTGCCCCTTCCCCTGTCTTCAGCCATGACTCCCAAACCCTCTTCCTTCCAGTGGGACTGCTGTGGCTAGCCAGACTCCTGGTAAGCAAAGTGAAACTAGATGAAAACTAACCTTGACAAAGTCACTTTTTCCCAGTTCAGTTCCCAGAATCGTACCATTGCAGACGCAAGGACGGAACTGTGATGGCAAAAGACAGAGTGGAAGATACAGGACTGCTCTAGCCCCAGCTAACTTGGATCAGCTGAATCTACTGCCAAATTACATCTCTAACATGAAATTACACAAGCCAATCTAATGGCTCAGTAACACAAAAGATCTTTCTCTCACTTTCTCTGCCACACGATCCCGCATTGCCATCTTGAACTCTCTGGCCCTGTTGCCAAGCTGATCCAACTCCCTGCTGCAGCTGGGCTTCTGCCCTGCAAGCAGAGAGCAGAACCAGCATGAGCAGCACTCTGCTGAGCACCAGAGAAAGAAGTAAGAAGGGGAAGTTCAGGGATAGGAGATGCAGGAAAGGGACTATAGAAGAAACAGAACATCTTCCCTCTGGAAACAGTGTGCTATTAAGTTAGCTCACCTCATTTTACTGTGCTTCGTCCTCAGTAGGGCAGTGAACAAGCACTTCAAAAAGCTGCAGCAAGGCAAGCACAACAACAGAGAGAAGGCAATTCACTCAACACCAACACAAGAGTTTTGTAGGTGAACAAGCACTTCAAAAAGCTGCAACAGCAAGGCAAGCACCACAACAGAGAGAAGGCAATTCACTCAACACCAACACAAGAGTTTTGTCAACAAAATACTGTATGGGAAAGCAGAACTAGGAAACAAAATAAACAGAAGGAACATAAATAAGAATAACAAGTTAAACTGGAAAAAGGAAAAGAAACTAAAAGGAGAAAAAAACCCCAAAGCCTAAAGATGCTCAGATAAAGGAAGCTAAAATATAATTTAGAAACCCTTACAGGTGCAAAACCCCACGGCTCTCACAGAGAGGGAGTCCTAATGAAGGCATGACTTCAATGCACCTATAAAAGCAAATTATTCCTAAAGAGATGCTGAAGAGATTTTACTAAAAGTGTAAACAGCTGATCTTCACACAAGAGTTAAAAACACAAGACAAATGAAAAGACTGGAAGCACTGTCAGATAAACCCATTATGGCTAAGCACAGGTTAAATACATCCTAGTTAGAAGACCGAGTGGACACAACTGTGCAACAACTCTGGCTGACAATGTCCATGTTGCTATAGGTGAGGTAGAACACATTCAACAATAAATTCCACACAGTCCTCAAAGAAATGTCTCAGTATCTTAGAAAGCAGTGCAAGACATCCTGCTGCAGGCGTTAGATGCACATTCTCAAGCTGAAAAGATTTATCTGTAACATCTAGTTTAAAGTCCGCTACCCCTACCCCAAAGATGATAAAATGAACGAAGCATTATAAAGAATCAGAAAAGGAACACCAGCCACATTTAACAGGCTGCCTGTGAACCTCTGAGCAGCATTACCCTTGACTCCTGAAAGTAGCAAGTAATCCAGGATCCCTGAGTCCAGAAGCAAGGCAGGCAGCAGCCAACAGACTCACTTCAGAGGCAAGCCAACACTCCAGTCTGCAGCTGCTTCTATGTTTTACATTAAACCACCACTGTCTAAAAGATGCAAGATCCACGTGCGGCTGTGGAGCACCCTCAGTGACCAGCAGTACGTTTGACACTGTCTGCAGGCTGCTCCTCAAGTCCTGCAGGGAAAGTTCACACACAGCCCACGTACCCAACACACAGCTCTGAATTTCAGTCAGGGCAAGGACTGGAAGTTCACTGCTGCAAAGACAACTCCTTTTTTGGATTTGCTCTCAGATGAGGACAAAAAGGGTACAGAAGAAGGGCCTCTACAGGGCAGGAGGCTATGTGTTTTCCCACCACAAGTCTTTACTTATTTTTAGAAGTAACTTTTAGTTCACCTGTGATGCTTTTGCCTTCCAGCTATCAAAGAATCGGTGATTTTGTAAACTCTGTACTCTAACTGCAGAAAATTGAAACGAACTGAGAAAGACTGGTTCATCAATACTTCACAGCACCTAATTCACATACCTCCCAAAGGCTTCAGCAACAATCTAATCTACAAGCTCTACATGAACTTTTATGACATTGTAAAATCATTCATCTGGTCCAACATAAATACAGCTATTAAATAAGACAGCAATAACTTTGCTATAAATCATTCCAAGCAGCTTGAAGAGGCTTGAATGCAGACTCCCAAATGCCACATGATGCAAACAGTCTATTTACTTTATCACCTCTAAACCAAAACAAAAGTCACTAATATCACAAGATTTGTTCACAGGATTTTCTTACAAATTCCTCTTTTTAATGTGTTGCTTAAAATTTTAAAACAAATTCCCTTGCATAAATAAGCGCTATACACCCAACAGGTTACAATGGCACTTGAAATACTGCACATTTTCTTGCTACAAAAATCACAACTGAATCACAGATTTGTTTTACATGCCTGAGAAAAATGCACAGGAGTCTCTTCACCAAAGAAGCAACTCATTGTCACAGCATTGCTTCTCTGCAGCTTTTTAAACTAACGTGACAGGAAGAATCACTTTAATACTTATTAGGGAAACAAAAAGTGAGATTATGTACTTCAGACTAGGGCTCAGTTCCTTCCCATGTGGCTAGAGAAGTGAAATGGTGATAAATACAGCAAATCAGTGTTCTAAAGGCTGCCCGTATCACCACTTTGGTATTTTGGTCAGTTATTTTCATCTCATTTGCAAAGCACATGGAACGCAGATAAACTGAACAAATTCTCTGGAAATTAGTCAGTTAACTCCTAAACTATCTCTAGTATTAACCTTCACAGGATAATCCCATCATCATCTCCTAAATCCTAAACCAGAAGGGATTTTCAGATAAACAACAAATCACAAAAAAAATCCCTTGGAGGGAAAAAGTTAGTGCAGATGGACTTTTTCCTAGGGGACTTTCCAATGTAAGGTGAACTCAACCAGCACAGATGTTTGGAACAACATCAAACTTCAGAAGGCAGCAAGGCACTGATACTGATAAGCTGAATTTAGCATCAGTATAACGGCAGAGAGTACTGCACTAAGTTTATTACACATGGGGGGTGTATTTATGAACAAACTGCCTCAGCAAATTGTCTCTGTGCACAAATACACAGGACTGACTATGCTTTGTGCAACTGCGCTTATAGAGGGACTTATGTGGCTCTGTCTTACAATCCAGAAGATATCACAGGTCACATTAAAATGAGCAACTGACTTCCTGCACTCTGTTTTTCATCTGACTTTCTCATTCACTCACAGGCCTTCCGATGAGCTCTAAATGTTCCTTTTTCTTTTTTTCTTCTTTTGAAACAAGCTTCCGTGGTGAGGATGGGAATCTACTTATCTAACACACATAGACCCTGGAAGATGCTATGACAAGTCCATCAAAAAAAGATTTTTGGTTGAATAAAATTCCTTGATCTCAAATTACTTTTTTTTTTTACTGCAATGATTAACTAGTATGTTGAATAAAAGATACCTATGACAAAGGCAGTATCGCTTGATCTCAAATTACTTCTTTTTACTGCAATGATTACCTAGTATGTTGAATAAAAGATACCTATGACAAAGGCAGTATCTCGATCCTTACAGTGAACAAGCTCTAAGTGTGCTCTGACAAGCCATCTACCCAAACATCAGGTATTTATAAATACAGTATCTTCATGTTTTGAAATTAAAGAACAAGTGCTCTTAATATTATTCTTAGTATCAAAACATTTAAAAATAGCAAACACGGCTTTAAGTTCTTACTTTAAAGCTGCCAGACTTGCTTGTAAGTTTCCCTCTCTCCACCACAGTTTTCCTTCCTCTGCCTAAGTTTTCCACAGGCCACGAACTAATGACTGTTTTCCATGGCATTTCATCTCTCTCAAAACAGTGCAAGTCTGTAGTTTGAACAGACATTTCTACAGCACTGCAACACTTGAGTTCTCGTCTAACCTGCCTAGGGAAAAAAAACCAAAAAAACTTTTAAATTTCATTCTTCTTGATTCAGCCAATCTGTGAATCTAACCATCCAATCCTAAGCAATTTCTGCATCTCAGGCTTGTAATACAACTTTATATAGGAAATACATCCAGTACATTCCACGAAATTATTGTGCACAATGTGAGCTTTCCTGAGAGGTGATGCCACTATTGCAATCTGAGAAAACACCTCTATCACTTCAAAAGGTGACAAAAGTTACCATTCAGTTAGTGCAAGAAGGGAAAAAGAAACATTTAGAAAGTTTTCATCTAATATCAATAATTAAGCATTTGTGTAATGAACACGCATCCCTCATCATATTTTATCAGAAGTAGGGTGATTATCTTAAGCAGTTTTACCATTCCCCTCAGAAAACGCCCCTCAAAAAATGCAGAGCAAACCAAAGCACACCGCACTTGAAGAACTGCATTCCGAACCCTGAAACCACGCAGGATCAGCTCACACGAACACGGAAAGGAACTCGGGGCCGGTACCGGGATAACCGAGCCTGGATGCTCGGTAAGCTGAAGGAGGGACACTCACTCCCCAGACGGAGAACGCCTCACTTCCAGCGTGTCCCACCAGGCCCCAGCTCTCCCCAAGCCGCGGGCAAACCCCGCACTCGGGCGGCCCGGCAGCGGGAAGGCCCCGGCCGGCAGCCCGGGTGTCCTCCGGGGAGGCGCGGGGCAGAGGCCGCCGGACCCGCCGGGACGGGGCTGCTCCCGCTCGCAGCCGCAGGGCCGCGGCTGCCGGTGACAGCGCTCTTGTCACCCGCTGCTGTGTGACACTCCCCGGCTGGACTGTCCGGGGAGCATCTGCCCGACACCCACTCCCAAGCGAAAGGAGGGCACGGGAGTCCGGAGGAAACCAGGGGAAAGTGACGAGGAACACCAAGGAAAGCAGCTCCGCCTGCGGCAGGCACGCCAGAGGCACGGGGGGCGGCCGGGCCGCAGGCAGGCTGGGGCCCGAGGCGAGGCCGCCGGGCAGGGTCCCCGGCCGCCCGCTCCTCTAGCGGAGGCGGCGCGGCAGCCGCCACCGGGCGAAACACCACCACTCAGGGCGCCGCTTGCTCTGCCGGCACTCGGCAGCCTGGCGCTCCTCCGGCCGCGGGGCAGGTGCGGGGGCCCCGGACGCGGCGCAGCCCGCTGCCGTCCCGCCCCAGCGCCGCGCACAAACTTTCTCGCTCCGGCCCCGCGCCGCTCCCTCCCCGTGCGGCGGGCGGAGCGGCAGCCGCCCCGACCAATGGCGCCGCGCGCCGCAGCCCTGCGGCCAATGGGCGGCAGCGGGAGGCGGGACCGCCCGCCCCACTCACCGAGCAGCCTGGCTGTGCCTGCTCCTGGCGCGGGAGACCGGCACCGGCCGCCGCTCCTCCCCGGCTTCTCCGGCGCCTCGAGCCCGGGGCCGCGCCGGCGCTGGCAACGGGCGCCTAGCGGGGCTCCTGGCGGGCGGCGCAGGCACCGGCAGCAGCCCGGACCTGCTCTCCGCCCCCCGCCGCTCCTGCCAGGCCCGTAAACATCCCGGCATCCCCGAGGATGGGGCGGGGCGGTCTCCGGGCCCCGCCTCGCTCCGCTCCCCCACCCGGCCGGAGGCGCGGTGCCCGCCGGGCTGGCCGCGGTCCGTCCCGGCGGGCCGGGTCCGGTTGTGCGCGGCGAGCTCGCAGCTCCTCTGGAAAGGACCGGGGTTGTACCTGCGGTGAGACGAGGACTCTCATCCCAGCGTGTTCGTGCCGTGGAGCACAGCGGGGCCCGGGCACTGCGGTTCCGCAGCGGGCACGGGAAGCTCTCCCGGAGCAGGAGCGGCCGGGAGCGGGAGGAACACCGGCTCCGGCCTCTCGAGCCGGGACTGGCCCTTCTGCTCTGAGCAGCACTGCTCTGAGGCTTGGGCCCTGCCAGATTTGAAAACGCAGCATGCCACACTTGATCATTTTGCATTTGAGTTGTGGTAGTCAGTCTGCGATACGTTCGATATTAACTGAGTACATCAGCTGGAAGTGACACAAACTCCTTTTTGCTATACTGGGAGGAATAAAAGTGACGGGAACAAAAAAGAACAGACTCTTGGTGAGTTCTATTCCACCAGATTCTACTTTGCAAGAGCACTGGGTTTAAGTAGCTAAAAAATACTGAATTCCAGAGTACTCCTGGTTTTCAGGTTCCTTCAGTGCAGAGAAAGATCATTACCTACACAGATGCCTTAAGAACCAATGATGGGGGGAAAGTACAGAAACTGACCAGTTTCCCCAGTAAGGTTATGGATTACTGTGATCAAATAACTTTTTTCCTCAGGTGTAGATGCTCTCTGTAAAAGGCAATCCAGTAATTTAAAAAAGAGAAAACAGCAATTGAGAGTTACCATGAGTCAGATGTACTTGATTCTTCCAAAGCAAAACTTAAGTTCTCTTAAGAGTTGGAGGTTTTGCTGCAGTTTTTCCTTTGTAACAGGTAATACTTGATTTAAGCCTTGAAAAAGAAGTAGGAAATGGGCCCGTGTGTCTGGAAAAAGTCTAATCACTTCCCTGTGTACAAAATTATGTCTGTTTTTGAGGCAAACACTTCAGCTTTGAGACATCTGCTATGTCGCCAGTGACACAAAGTCTAATGAAATTTGAAAGGAAATTGTTTTTGTTGGCTCTCATTTCTCTGATTTGTTAATCTTTCTGCACATTTCCTCTGTATCAGCACTGGGGCTATGCCACTGGCAAAATACAGTGATAAGGTGACCACCCAGGCTGTGGAATCACACATATCCTATGACCTTCCCCTTTGATGTGCATTTTGTATTTCTTTATGTTGTAAATGCAGTTTCTTGAACAAGAATTCACTGGATTGGTTTTTTGTAGAAAGTGCACTACATTAGGGCTCGCCACATACCATAAAGTGAAAACTTGATAGGTCTGCCATACAGTGTTAAGAAGTTACTTTAAAGAATTACAATCAGCAATTCCACTGACTTCCATCTCCAAAAACCTCTTCAGCCTCAACCAGAATTGGGGCTGTGTGAGTGCAATCACCTATTTGCAAAACCTCTGATGGAAAAAGGAGAGATTGTTATTTGGTGTATAGCTGACCATAAAATACTGAGTCTTATTAGATCTCATTTTCTCTTCAGCCTCAGCCAGAATTGGGGCTGTGTGAGTGCAGTCACCTATTTGCAAAACCTCTGATGGAGAAAGGAGAGATTGTTATAGCTGACCATAAAATACTGAGTCTTATTAGATCTCATTTTTCCACAGGTAAAGGCAATAGCACTATAATACACAGCTATTGCTAGTTTCTGGCCTCTATTAGATGGAAAATGAGCAATTCACAACCTAGACTTAGGTAGCATTTGAAGGTTTCTCTATATTCATGCATAAAAAGAGAATACCCAGGGCTTACTTGCCTTTTTTTACAGTAGGTTTCTCAGTCTTCCTTTGTTTAATCTGATTGTTAATCTGTTTGAATTTTTTTTCTTTCATCCTATTTTATACTCACTGCTCTTTCATTCATTTTCTTTGATTTTCTCCATGCTGTAATTTCACTGTACAGTTGTATAATATTTTGACTTCTCTCTTTATACATCTGAATCCAATGGCTACTTTAGCCTGACATTACCAGTTGATGAAGCATCTTCTCTTTCCTGTATTCCAACCTTATCTTTCTTAGAAGATGGTTGTTTCTATTTTATTCTTGATGCTTGGGACTCAGAAATGCTAAAAATGAAGAGTCTGCTTTAATTAATTAGTTCATCACCACAACCAGGCAAATATGCTTTCATATAAATGTAACTACACTGCCCCCATTAATTTAAATTTGCAAAGTGACACATCTTCCACAGAAGATGCTCTTCAGACCTGGGTTGTACAAATGTTTATTTATAGAAGGATGTTTTTCTTTGCTTTTCAATGCACATTTACAGTTAAATAAATTTGTCTAATATTCCCTGTAATGGAGACCTTATATAAAATAGAATCAGAAAGGCAGAAGAGGCTCCAGAAGATCCAGCAGCCTCAGGGATTGTTAAGGAGCAGGCTTATCTCTGGCTAAAGCTTCTCTCAGAGGCCGGAGGGGACACTGCCTAACTAGTTAGCAAAGGATTAGAGAAAATGGACACAGACATGCTGGAATTAGGGATCTGTGAGGGAGAACATGTCTTGTTCCCTAAGTCTTACCAACTTCTGAAGGTGTTGGCAGCAAATGCTTTACACCTGGAGTTGAGCAGGCCAGAGGCAGAAGGAACAAGGACTTCACTATTTGTCAGTGGATGCTAAGCTTCGTTCACTCTTTGTCAGTGGATGCTAAGCCATGCTATTATTAATCTATTTACATTTCAGAAGTGATTTAAGAAAGCTGCACCAGTCTTTTTCTAATCATTGAAATGTGTGAATATACATAAGCTATAAATATAGTCAGCGTTCAAGAATATAAAAAATATCCAGTGATGACAATGGGTATTATTTGGAATGGCAACGTGATACTTGGATTGTCTCTGAAAACAGTGTCCTTTGTCAGGACTAAGCTGCTAGACTTGAAAGCACCTAGAGAGGGCTAGGTAACAATATAAAAATCAACCAGAAATTCAAACATTTAGCCCAACTCCCTGGATGGTTCCTAACTTGCTGCCACTGTTATCCAGGGCTCTGTATAGCTGGAGACTCTTGAGATGTTCATTAATAGAATAAAGTGAAGACTCAGAAAAAATATAGATTTGAAAACTTTAAAACTTTCAGGCAGAAGCGCTCACTAGGCCAGTGGAGGATGGGGATAGATGTCTTTGAGATCACAGAGACAGGAGCATAACATAACAGCTCACTGGTTAACAATTCTTCAGGTTCTTCAAATCAATAAAGTACAGGAAATTAATCAAAAGGAGCAACTGCTCTGCTCTAAGTCCTTGAAGCCTGAAAAGTCTCCCCTCTCTCCTGGTTCTTTGTTACTAACAGTAAAAAGGCTAGGCTAGGATAGCTGCCTGTGACATGGATGTGGAAATGAGAAAGGCTGTGAAGGCAGGAGTAAAGAGATCTCCATTATATTTGCACTGGATAAATATTATGATAGGGCTTTATGCAGAACTTAAGCTT